GCAGGCAATGAAAAATGAACAGGAGGGAAGACTCCGAATCGTGAAGGCAGCTACTGCAATTATTGTTGATGATATCTGGAGTCAGGCTTATGAAACAGAAAAGTACCCCCCCTGATAAATTTTTTGACAAAAATGAAGAACTCATTTCAGAAACCCTCCGTACATTCTTGGAAACAGTTGTACTAAACAAAAAACGTGGGGACCATGATATTCGGAAGAAAAAGAGCACAGCAATGGCGCATAGTCTTGTTGTAGCGGTAAGGCCTAAATCGTTTATCTCATCTGTTTTGGTAGGGTTGGCAGTGTTCCTGTACAAGAAGTACGGCTCAAGAAAATTAGTTGACGTAGGGTTTTGTCCATCTTATATAGAAGCTGTACGCCAGGAAGCATCAGCAATCAAGGGCGATCTGCTGAAAGTTGATAAGCCGTGCTTTTCACAGCACGTTTACGATAACGCTGATATCAACGTACATACGATCGACGGATACAACACCTTCCACTTCATGGGTGGCATTTCGTGTATTGCCCCGAACAGGCAGTAGCCCCCAATCAATTCATTCATCGACTCAAAATGATCGGATAAACAAACTCGCCAGAGGTTTCCGGAAGTTATGGAGCAATTAAACTGAGAGAACAGAACCTAAAGGTTTAGCTGAATTGAAGATAAACGATCTTAATGAAATGTTTGCATCGAGTGAATCTGCTATCCCCTCTGTGCCCAATCTTCTGTGGCTCTATGGAAAAAGTATAGACATTCCTGGTCTCTGGATGGAATGGATTTATGGAAGATATTAAAAGAAACATACCATATGAAGTAACTTTTACTAGCTATCAGCCATTTATCAACGCTTCTCCAAGTGAATATGATAGAATATTCACAGCATTGTTGGCCGGAGTAGAGAAGACCAGATCTTTGAACCAAGCTACCTGGCCTAGTGACATTTGACTAACCCCTCTATTTCAAAGCACGAGACATTCTTGCTAGCCGTCCGGATGATCCTGCTCTTCCAAATGTTGTGATAAGGCTAGGAGGATTCCATTTACTGATGTTATTTATGGGGTCAAGTGGTTTCATTATGCAGAAGGGTGGGTTGATTGAACTTTTCAATATAATATTTGCAGCAAACTCAACTGAAAAAAATCATGACTGGCCACGCATACTCGAGGGCAGTACGAGCTCATATGTTGGCCCACAGAACTTTGGCCAAAATAATTTTTCAGTCAATGGCACTGTCAGTAACAATGGTCCCTCAATTGGAGGAAATCTTGTTTAACATGGACAGAAAAGTGATTCTTTCTAATGATGTGGAAGAGATTGCGAAAGATCTGCAAGATGAATTGAAAAGTAAGCTTCAATTTTTGGCAGAATGTGCCAAGAAACTGTCAAGCTCTGGGTTGTACATTTCGAAATGGTGACTTTGATTAAGCACTTTATTGAAGCAGAAAGAAGCAGCGACTGGGAACTGCACCTTCAAACCCTATATAGAATATATGGTTAGTGGCCATAATCTGTATGCTAAATGCAGTCATCTATACCTCCAGGATATGCTTGCCTTGAAAACTGTAATGTCAACTGCTGAATACGAGCGTTTCACTACAGGAAGATGTTTCACCATTCGGAGGACTGATAAACTTTGGTGACGATCGAGCAAACTCTGATGAAGTCAATGAAAACAAGTAGTGGTCTCACGCATGGCCTTGGAGTATCTCCAAATGTTGTAACAAGATGGACACAACGGATGACAGCAATACATAATGTGTGCCAAGAGCACTTCACTAGAGTGGAACACGCGACGTCTGAACAACGCGTTGACAGCAGAGATACGATGCAAGAGCCAGACATAACCGATGCAAAAAAGTTGCTGAATTAGTTCCATGAACATCCTCCTTTTCCAGAGACTACTGACTTGATGTCACTTAGTGCAGGTATTGTCGCAGATGATAGAATCAACTGCCACTTGTCCAATGAAGTTGGCATTTAACAAGGATGATACACACTACTACTACAAGATGGCTTATCCTCATAAGGCCTGTGTGTAACAAATCCCCCCCCTACTCCCCCTCGCCAAACAACCAGTTGTGACGTAAGCAGCATGGCGTTTCTCGCCTTGACGTTGGCTGTTTAAACAGCTGATGACTTAGTTATGACGTCGGCAATGGTTGAAAACAGTTGAAAACCAATATGGCGACGATTACCAAAAACGAGGCCGATAAGCACTCCTTTAGAGTATATATTCTCCTTGGGCATTTAAAGTATGCAGCGCATTGTTGGAGGTGACTTCAAAACTGTGAAATTCAAGCGAAGCGATAGAGCGCAGCCTCTTGCAATCATGAACAGCTCGATCCAGATAGAAGACAGGGCTGTAGTCATCAATCCCATCACACTTTTCTAACGAATGACCATCGTATAACATACAGATGAAGAGCTACGAGAATTTTTATGTTACGAACTTAACCCCTACCTAAGCATGGATGACCAAATCGAGTTTCTACAAGGCTTTTGAACTTAGTAAACAGCAGAACTTGACCAATACAAAATTTGTCATCGACGGAGGGTTCTTATTGCACCTGGTCAAATGGCACGACGGCCAGACATATACAGAAATTTGTAGTAGCTACGTTTCCCATGTAAAGTCATATTACAAATGGAATATCGTGGTCATTTTATATGGCTACCCCGACGAAGCTCGTGAAAGCACCAAGCGAATAGAGCGATTGAGAAGAGCGCAAAGGAAACATTCTGCAGCAATATCATTTACTGAAACGATTATTGTGCCCACTGTCTCGCAGGAGGGTTTTCTTGCAAATACCACACACAAGAACCGGTTGATATTCATGCTTATGAAGAAGTCGAATGAAGCAAACATTGAGTCACAGCAAGCAGTCCAAGATGCTGATATTCTTATAATTACAATAGCACTCAAGTTGGATTGTTCAAATGAATACGTAACAGTGGTGGGGGAAGACATTGACATTTTGGTGATTTTAATTGTTGGCCTGTGTAGTCCTGGTATAAAAAAATTCTCTTTCATGAAAACGGGAAAAGGAAAGGTGTCTCATACCATCTACGATCCTCACCTACTGGACAAAACCCTATCCGACCCTATTTTATTCCTGCATGCGATGAGTGTCTGCGACACCACTTCCGCTCTGTCAATCAGGGAAAATTAAAATTTCTCAAAGTCCTGCAAAGAAACAATGACTCGATACCAATTATTGAGGCTTTCAAATTTCAAAGATTCTCGAGCTGACCAGGACGAGATTGCCAAAGCAGGCAACATAATTCTCATGGCTTCTGTATGGGAAACGCCTAGGAACTAGTTTGAATGATTTGAGATGTAGGCATTACATATCATCATCCTTTAAAAGCAAACCCAACTACCCGCACTACCTCCCACTGAAACTGCTGCACGAGAACATTCACTGAGAGTGTACTTTCAGGTGCAGCAGTGGTTATCTCGACGAGTGGGGGTGGAAGAAAACCAACAGTGGTCTTGATTGTGCCCATTAAAACATAAAACAGAGCATATCTTGCAAATGCGAAAAAGGCTGCCAGCCAAATTGTGAATGCAGGAAGACAGGCCTTTATTGCTCGTCAATATGCACAACATGCAACGGGTTGTGTGAAAACGTCAAGTCTCCGGATGACAGCGTTGAGATTAACGAAGAAGGGACCGAAGAAAGAGACCGAGAAATGTCTGGAGAAGAACGCTCACACGATGTGGAAGGTATGTCCAATCGCAAAATCACGAGTTTGTTTTTCATAATTTCTCTTATTTTCCAGCTCAATCTCCGATGTTAATGGAATAACCCGATCTTCTGCCAGAACCTTTCAAGAGAAAACGCTTTGAATAATATGATCTCTTCCTCTTCTCCTTCCTAGCCGTTCTCCTCTAGATATAGGCCTCTCTCAGATAACTTGATACTATGTTAATAAAATCAGTATTATGATACTATAATAATAAAGCGATGAAAATAATAAATGGAAAAAATCAAAACTACCCCAACACTTTCCTACCAAAAATACTATTTGATTGGACTATTTCCGGCAACTGTGATTTCTTCCACGGGGCTTTTCTGTCTTTTATCTCGGACGAGGCAAGTTGTTTTTCTTCTGTGGTGATTTCTAGATGTTCTTCATACCCGACATTTATGATGTGTCCAATAACGAGTTGATAAGAGTAGGTTAGAGTCCTCTTTGAATGAACCTTTCTGTAGAATTTCTCTATAGTATTAGTTGTCACCACTTCTATATTGTAGAACAACAAACTCAAATGCGAATAATGCATAGAGGTGGGGAACTGTTTGATCAAGATCTACATCTGAACTGCATATTCTAAAAGTGTACATACCTAGGACCCTAACAATATTCCAGGTGACTATAACGGTGAAAAGTGATTTTTTGAGACTAGTTCCAGGCAACCTTGAAATTCGAAATAGGTCCTTTTCAAAATGATTGATCAGCTATCCGCCGTTTTGTATTAGTCAAAGTCGAAAAGTACTTAGCATTCTAGTGCACTTCTTCACCGACCTTCACATCACTGTGGGTATAGCACAAATTCCAGTTTCGCATCGACGTTGTCAATGACCTTGAACTTCTGAATTTCAGTATTTCAATAAAGCTGCGACCACTGTGTCGATAAAACTAAGGTTTCAATGATCTAAAACTGACTACAAATTGAAAAGGATTTCAGATTTTTATAAGATATTGTTGCGAGGATGTTTATACCTACTCTTATTTCACCATAAACCAAACTGTTGGTCATAGGTAAAATAATATAAATATTATATAACACGAAACTGAATTTATCCCGGTTGTAAGAATATTAAGGTTATTTTGAATAATTTTCAAACAATCGCCGGTATATTATAATTTTACATAGAGCAAAGTTTTCATAAGTGAAGGACACTGTCCTAGCGGGGGCGATATATTTTCCGACTTTCGTAAAGCTATCCATTTCGTTTCTGAAAAGCATACATATTCCAAAATGCTAACTTACCGCTAAAACACCATCTCCCATTGATTTTGGCAAAAACCACTAGTGATATTGCGAGGAGAAGTACCAGGACTGCTGCTACTATTCCTACTATGGCTGCTACACCAATTTCGTAACCTAATAACAAAAAAAAAAAAACCTGTAAATAATAAATAATAAAGGCATTGAAAATCGCAACACGAATCGTTTCAGGGGATTTCCATTATTTATAATATCCTGTAATAAACGTCGTCATTTTTGAAAATAATTCGCAAAAGGGCCGGGATATACGACATTGTGGAAAAATTGAAACTATTTTAGAGGTAATAGACCATCGATTTTGGACCGTTTCGCTTCTTTATTTCAGACCATAAGTCACGCCCTCGTTTCGTGAGGTTTTTTTTGCGGTCCGGTAATGGACGATTTGTTGTGTGGTTTTAGGATTAAGTGGTTTAATGGGAGAAGGAACACAACAACTTTTTCTGTATTGCTTTCTGCTAATTAATCATGTATCCTTAGAAAGTAGCCTGGATTAACAATTATTATTGTCAGAAATTGTAACGTGCCAAAATTGCCTTTAACTATTTCACACTTATTTTCAGTTTTCCATTCAAAATTCCTTTATATGTTCAATCTTTCCCTGATTTTATCAGGCGTTGTTTAAATTTTTTCCTTTATAAAAATTCAACAGTAATAACAGTAGTTGCAGATCCTGTAAATTTTCTAATCTTTATTATTTAAATTCTAATTTCAGTTGTAAGTAGTTCTTGTTGACGACTGTCGACTAATAATTTTCCTGGATTTTAATTAATATTTTATTTCCATTTCCAAATAATTAATCTTCATGCAAACAAATTAAATATTTCTTATTCTTGAGTCAGGTTTTCCAAATAGTGGTCCGTTCACGGAATGTGTACTCCACGCTGCTCGTACTCTGTTCGGTTGCTGAACTCAGTACCAGATTTAGTTCCGGAATCCGGTTCCAAGGGCACCGGGTTGCTCTCTATTCTATATAGTGATAGTCTCTATTCTATATAGTGACAGTTAAGTCATGTCACTGATGATTAGTGTGCCAGCTGATGGCAGAAATGTCGTTCATTTTTGTCAATTGGCCTTTTGATTAGTAATGTTTTTGGGATCATCGATTCCTTTGTAAGCGTTTATGTTTTGCAACACGAATTGCTTATTCAATGTCGTATTCTTAAAATTATGATTATTCTAGTGGTTAATTACTTGTTATTGTTAACATTAGTCGTCAGCTGTTGTCATTTTTCTCAGATTATATTGTGTGTAATTTTTGGTACTCAAGATTCTCCTTGATTTATTTTTGACATTTGTCGATACTCTGCCTCTTCTCTACTCTTTACCTTTAGGACAGCTAATTAATTTTATGTGGTGCTTCTTTCTTTCACGTTTGGTGGTTCCGAGAAAAAGGTCTTTCTGAAGTTAAATTTTGTCTTCGCCTTTAAGGGATTTTGATCCTATATTCTCAATTATTGAATTTATGGTACATTGAGTTGCCATACGTTGCGTTACGTTTTCGTAAAGTGCCATAATTTCGCCGATGATTTCGGATTATTACAACCATCCATTCGGGAATAACTTTATTTTAACTTTAAATTGTTCAACACAGGAAAAGCGTGGCAAATCAATTGGCGCCCAACGTGGGGCCGCCATTTGAATAAAAGGTTTCTGCCCTTTTGGTGAAAGACTTTTTTTCTTTTCTTTTATTATTTTTTTTAATTCCTTATCCTACCTATATATTATTAATTTATTATCCATTATCTTTTGGCTGTTTTAAGTGCATATAATCAAATTTCAATCTTTGAACTTTTTTTATAATCAGTACTAGAGAGACGAGAGAGCCGTTTTGATTATTTTTGAGTAACAGATATTTCGAACCCCTATGTATAATATCCAAATATCTTTATTGTTCTTGTTGATTGCTTAACGTATTTATTGGAACCAAACGGATAACAAAATGACTATCTCGTACCTAAAAAAGGAAATTTTGAAGTTAGGAGTCATTAAGCGTTCTAATAGTCCTTGGTCTAGTCCTGTGTTTCTTGCTTGAAAAAAGGATGGATCCTTCAGATTTTGTATCGATTTAAGGCTGGTCAATAAGTATACAAAAAAGACGCATATCGACTCTGCCATATATTTCCACCATCGTGGATCGGTTAAGAGAGACTCGATATATCAGTTCCATCGATATTAAGTCAGCATTTAGACAGATCCCTTTGAGTACATGTTCCAAGGAGTACACTGTACACTGCATTTACTGTCCCTGGCAGAGGACTCTCCCAATTCTGTCGGATGCCATTTGGCTTATCTAATGCTCCTGCAACCTGGCAAGAAATCATTGACACTATCCTTGGTCCAGAGCTCGAACCAAATGTCATGTGCTACATTGATGACGTGGTGATAATTTGTATTTCTTTTTCAGAACATTTGCGAATTTTGGAGGTTGTATTCGACCGCTTGCGAAAAAATGACACCTTTGCAAGCCAGAATAAAAGTACTTAGGCTATGATCTGGTTGATAAGAAAGGATTACGCCCTGATCCAAAAAAGGTTGAGGCTATTGTTAACATGCCACTGCCGAAAAATATCAATGAAGTTCGTAGATTTGTGGAAACTGCTTTCTGGCATTGGCGTTTTGCCCCAGAATTTTCTTCCGTGTTAGCACCCATTCTTAATTTAACTAAAAAGAACGTTAAATTTACTTGGACTCCAGATTGCCAGAAAACTTTCACATTCTATAAAGATTGTTTAGTCACTACTCCAATTCTAACTGCACCTGATATCAACAGTATGTTTTATTTACAAACCGATGCCTCAAATTATGGGCTGGGAGCTGTTTTAACTCAATGACAAGAGGAGGGTGAAAAAGTTGTATGGTATCTGTCAAGGTCTTAAACCAAGCAAGATATGAAACTAACTGTCACAGAGAAAGAATGTCTTGCTATCATTTGGGCTGTTGAGAAGTTGCGTCACTATTTAGATCACACGAATTTTATAGTTATCACTGATTAAGCATCCTTGTTATGAATTCATCATTTAAAGGATCTCTAGGTCTTCTTGCACGTACGTCTTTAACAGTTCAATCTTCAACTTATTTACCGGAAAGGCAAATACCATATAGTACCAGATTTTCTTTCTCGAGCGATACCTAGCTGTCGATTCAGTTTTCAATTTCACTCCTCCAACTTACACGCCTACCAAAAGTGACAAATGGTTTTTGGGAATGCTTCAAAAGGTCGAAGATAAACCCCTAAATTTTCCTCTATGGCGTACTCGAAATGGCAATTTTTATAAATTTGTGAAACTCTCCATTCCTGAATTGTCTTCTCCTTCAGATGATTGGAAAGTTGTAGTCCCTAAAGACCAGCGGAAAAGTATTCTTCAGCGTTGTCATGACGTTCCAACCTCGGGTCATGTAAATGTTTATCGGACTTTAGTTAGAATTCTCCAGAATTACTACTGGCCAAAAATGGAAGCTGATGTCTCCAGTTATGTGAGATCTTGTATTTCTTGTGCTCGGAATAAGGTAGAGCAAAAACCTCCAGCTGGTCTAATGGGTGTTCGATCCGAAATCACTGAACCATTTCAATCTATCAGCCTTGACGATATAGGACCCTTGCCTGGTTCTAAAAAGGGACATTGTTACATTCTTGAGATTTCGGACTATTTTAGTAAATCAGTAATGATTTTCCTCGATCGATTTTGATCAATATTTTATTTCCATTTCCAAATAATTAATCTTCATGTAAACAAATCAAAGATTTCTTATTCTTGGGTAAGGTTCTCTAAATAGTGGTCCGTTCACGAAGTGTGTTCTGCACGCTGCTCGTACTCTGTTCTGAATTCAGTACCAGATTTAGTTCCAGAATCCGGTTCCATAAGCATCGGGTTCCGTCTCTATTCTATAGTGACACTTAAGTCATGTCACTCATGATTGGTGTGCCAGCTGACGGCAGAAATGTCGTTCATTTTTGTCAATTGACCTTTCGATTAGTAATGTTTTTGGGATCATCGATTCCTTTGTAAGCGTTTATGTTTTGCAACACGAATTGCAATGTCGTATTCTTGAAATTATGATTGTTCTAATTGTTAATTACTTGCTGTTGTTATCATTTGTCTTCAGCTGTTGTCATTTTTCTCAGATTACATTGTTGTGTGTAATTTTTGGTACCTGAAATTCTCCTTGATTTTTTCTAGACATTTGTCGATACTTTGCCTCATCTCTACTTATTACCTTTAGGACAGCTAATTAATTTTATGTGGTGCTTCTTTCTTTCATGTTTGGTAATTCCGAGAAAAAAGTCTTCCCGAAGAAGTTTTTGTCTTCGCCTTTGAAGGATTTCGACCTTATATTCTCAATTATTGAATTAATGGTACATTGAGTTGCCTTACGTTGCGTTACGTTTTCGTACAGTGCCATAGTTTCGCCGATGATTTCGGATTTTTACAACCATCCATTCGTGAAAAGCTGCTGGTTAAGAGTTGAGTAAAGACTACCTCACTGACTCCAGGATTTCGAATCCAGAACTCGATCAAGATTAATCCGTATTTTCAAGGCAAATAAAACCCATTCCAACAGGTGAGACATAACCTAATAATGACAGATTTTTTTTGCAATCTCAATTATCTATTTTTTTTTTTTTTTTTTCCAATTTAAATTGTTCAACATAGGAAAAGCTTGGCAAAATAAATAGGGAGAGTTTATCAGTAGGTACCTATGATCAAATAGAAGATATGATCGAAAAGGGACTGAATATAGGATAGAGAACCAGGACAAAGTAGATGAATAGTGTGAAGATGTGGAAGATGAACATCCCAACATAATAAGCAGTCAAAGCAAAAAAATATGGAAAAATCACAAAACTATTGAAACTTCTAAAACCATGGAACAAAAAGACTATTGTGCCTATACAAGAATGCAGATCAAATGCGTGGAAATTACTGAGGAATCAATTAGGTACCTTACTAAGCATTGGCGTATGTAATATATAAAACTTGGAAGTTAAGAGCTGGTAAAAAATGGAAACTGGAAACTGATCCTAGAACAGGCTTAGCCTTAGCCTGAGTTGTAGCGCCAAAGATCATCATGATAATATTAATTTTTATGTCAAACTAAAACCTGTCAAGAAATCGTTCAAAAGTGAGCACGAATCCTTTAAGATACTGAAGATACCTACCATAAACCCCATACACATGCTGTCTAAAAAACTTCTGTATTCCTGTAGCATGAAAAAGAGGCTCTGATGTATTAAATAAGTACATTTTTGGCAGTCAATAATAAATTTTTACCTTTTGGTTCTGGATTCGTTGAAATTTTCACTCTATACTCCTCACTGCCTTGATCATTGTACGCAGTCAAAATGTAGTCTTTTTCAGTGTCTTGCTTGCTTATCCTTGCTATCCGAAGACTGGCTACGTATTTTCCATTACCCTGAATTGGAAAATAAATTATGTATTTATAAAAAAAAAATCCAAAGGCTCTTACCAATTCTCTCGCGACCTCAGCTTCCATAATTCCAGTATTATCATGACTCCCTTCTCTAATTTTTTGTCCATTAACGGTCCATTCTATGGAAGGTCTTGGATTAGCTTCCAATGTTACGTTAATAACCCCAGTTTTTCCAACTTCATAGCCGAATTCTTCTATCGGTTGCCTTTGGGCCAGAGGAGCATCTGGAAATACAAAAAAAATAATCAAGTAGGTACTTTCCTTGTTTGAGAGACTTTATACTTACACTTAATATCCAGTCTTCGTTTGGTCTCAGCCTGTCCTCCTGGATAGGCTGGATGATATCCAACACATCTTAAGAATTTGCCATTGTCAGTAGCTCTAAGTCTTCTAGTTAAATTTTGTATTTTTGATTGTAAATTTTCTTTGGCCAAATCCAAAACTGTTGGCATGCTGAGTTCACTTGGATCAACTGGTTCATCATCTATAAATGATATTAAGATATTAAAATCTCATAGATTATCGAATATATGTTTCTTACCTAAATACCAAGAAATATTTGCCACAGGTCTACCATCTCTGACCATACAAGTAGCTTGTAAACTATCATCTACTTTGTAGACGTTCAACTGATCAGCTCCTCTACTTAAATCCAGTTCTGGTGGTTTTGGTGACCCTATTTTTTTTTTTTATAAAATATTAATACCTGCGTATTTTTTAGTTATATGAGTAACTTACTTGCTACTATAAGACTCATAGTTCCAACAGATTCTTGAGCTTCACTAGCAATTCCTAGAGTACACTTAATTTCACCATTGTTGTCGTCTTTGGCTCTGTGTATTGTGAAACCGCATTGGCCTGCGTCAAGACCTTCACCATAGTAGGAAACCTTTGAAAATTTTAATATATCATTTAAAGGAAATTTATTTAAATCAAGTTACTTACATCCGAATTTGAGATTCCTCGATTCAAGTTATAGGATCGTAAGCCGGGGATTTCTACTCTACAGTATTGTAGAGGCACTGCCACTCTACACATGAAGCTGACATGTTCGCCAACTAGGACTGTCTGTTCTCTGCGGTCTACATCTACTTGGGCACACATTATTCCTGCAAAAGAAAAATTGTTGACTTTAGGATGAAGATACCATGATAGATGTTTATTGGTTCTAGTAGACCTTAGTATAAGATATAAATTGACGGTATTAATAACGGTTTGCTTCTCAGAGAAAAAAATCAAGAAGTACGTTTCATGTGCCATTTACATATGCAGTGATGCAGTTTGTATGCTCAAAGCGATTGGGGAATGTGAAAGATAATAATTATTGCTCAAATGATTATCGCTTTGTAATGTACTCAACATATCCGTGTACTGACAGATCCAGGCTAAGAGATTTTAAATTTCAATCCAGAATAATTAATTATATCTTTGCCTTTGACTGCACATCAATTCAAGCCATATTCTAAACAATTCCCCACACACAACTATTCAATCTGATAACTAAGACAAGGATCAGACAAGTGACAAGTCTAATTTAAAATTATGACTACCTTCGTACACTGAATTATTCAATTGTATAGACGCCTTAGGAATTCTGAAGGCAAGTGAATATCGGTAGTGTGCTTAGAAGGAAAGCCTCAAAAATTGGATCTGTATTATCAAGTTTGTGCTGTCCAAATCCCATAAGCCGAGTTGTTAAATTGAATTTAAGCTACGGCAATGTGTCATCGCGTCGCGTCGTCGCTTGTGCTTGCTCGTTAAAACTTCCTAAGCGCCGTGGCAAAGTGTTAACGTGCTTACTTTGTGTTGTAAAAGGATTGAGAAGCTTTCGCACGAGCTCGGTTATTAGATGTAATTATTATATGACGTGTCAAAACGGATTATGTTGGATTAAATAAAGTGTGCGAATACAAAATTGTGGTTTTCAATTAATATTATAATTGTAATAGACCAGTTCGCGGCATCAAAATGAATCGATTACAATTGATATGCCTTTGTTCATTTTAGAGGGCCAATATATCCAGAGTAATTCTGACGAAATGGGATGTTATGACTCCTGCGGGCTGGCCGGGGTGCCAGAATTTCAATTAATAGTTGATGTTTGAACAGAGCCGGATGCAATAAAGGCAGCGCCGTAACTCTGATTACATCAAATTGCAATTTATGGTTTATAGATTCTGAATAGAAAACCGATCCGCAAAATTCCACTAGAATTTTTGAGAAATCTAGAAATATTTAATAATTATTCATGAAACAAAATGGGGTGGCAAGTGGTTTTGTTCCATCGCTTGTAAATAATGAGGTTAATTTGGTGACACATGCCGGTAAATAACAAAGAGAAACAAACTGGAGAAGGGCCCCAAGAGATGCTACCCTGTTTTGAACATCGGTCTGTTACATGACGTGAGCGGCATGGGGAAAGTTTGAACAGTTTTGTTTAATTTATGTACACCAACTTATGCTGGAAAAGTTTGGATGTTGCCTTTTATTTTTATTTTTTGTACAGATTGCTCCCATAGGGCATTTAGAATTAGGTAAAGAGCTTTTTTCTCCAACTCAAATAAAAATATTCTAATATTAATTAATTTGTTTAGCTGATAAAACAATAGAGGTTCGTTATTTTAGACCGTTGCGCCCTTTGTTTGTAGATGGATTTCAAACGCCAGCCAGATTGAAACTTCTCTCAAATTTCTGCTGATAGGTGGAGCTGCAATGCAGTTTTGAATATTTTTACTTTTCAGGATGTTAATAATATCAAATAGTGCATTATTGCTTCATTGTTTTTTTCGCCTGACGTTCTTTCTCCTGATGTTCTTTCTTCTGGCTTCCATGGCAATCGTATTTCACTACTTTATTATTTTATGAATGCTTGCTGATAGCACATAAACTCCGGCTGCCGAATAATTTTCAGGACTAGGTATCAAACAGATAAGATTTATTTCCTCCCTATCATTTATTTTTAATGTTCATTTTATACGTTTACCAGAGTCATTTTGTTTGGATTGGCTTAGTGAGCCATTTTCTTAATAATACATCCCTTACTGATTGAAATACTTTCACTCATTTTGACTCTTTGGCTTTCTTTCTACCAGAACAAGTAATTTGGGATTGGCGAGAGCTTAAAACTAAGATTCAGTAGTTTAGATTGATCGAAACATCGGGAGTTGTTTGATTGTAATACTGAAATCGGAATTTTTTTGTTTCTCTTGTAATAAATTATTGACAGAAAGCAGTAATGCTTAGTTAGAATTTCTACATCCCATAAGCTTTTATTGTCAGACATTTGTTAATAAATTATTGACAGAAAGCAGTAATGCTAAGTTAGAATTTCTACATCCCATAAGGTTTTATTGACAGACATTTGTTTAATATAATTATTCTGTTCGAGATTAAGTAGAGGCCGATAATATCTAGGCATTTGTAGCTCGATAAGTACAGAGTTGTTGGTGCCCTCACACATAAAGTGACCAACTTTTCCTATGCAGCTGGTATTTTCTCATTAGCTTTCACTACTTACTAAGCCTCGATTGGCATTTGTTTCTATTTTTTTAAATTCACTCTAAATTAAAAACCCCTCTTTTATTGAGGAATAGCATAGCAGCAAACAAAAATATTCATTGAAAATTGGGAATAATATGGGAATATAACTGTCAAGACAAAACCTGTTGGAACATTAATATCAATGTGAACCCGATATTGATCCAAAAGGTTTCGTCGTCCGGCACCACCAGTGTAGGGGTACACTCGAGATTCGCACTTTCGCACAGACAGGTTATCCAGCGAGAATAGAAAATTTAATTCACGACTTTTTCCAAATTATAGCTACCTTTTTTTATAAAATAAAATAAATGTTGACGTGAAATTTTAAAAATTCTTTACTTACTTCCACAAAAACATGGTCTTTCCAACCCCGATATGAACAGTGATTGCTTGTGAAAAGTCACAACCACAACGCTACGCTACCAGACACGGCAACCATTTTATGATCCTCGTCGAAGTTGTTTGTTTACCCTTACTGAGGGTGTTTGAATATTATTTTTACAAACTGCATCTTCGAGGAGTAAAGAGCATCAGCTGCATCGGGTTACGTAGTAGTGTGTTCCTTTATTTTCCTTTATTCATTCCTGGTTTTTTTCACAAGCTCCAATATTTTATTTCGAAATATTCACAGTTTTTACAAATAAACATTAAATTAGACTATTTTACAAACAATTTAAGCGTCATTTAATCACACGTTTCCATTTCATACTGATTATTTGTAGTACCTATTATTATTACATAATAGTTATATTTTGTTTACCAGGTTTTCTAATATTTATCATTTGTCTACATTTCACTCTTATTTGTTGGATTTAATATTAGTTAAACATATGTTTTTGTATTTATGCGAATTTAATGCAAATATTTTATATGAATACCTACCCTTACATACTTATTCTATTATTCTGGGTATTCTGTACGCTACTTACAATTTAACACTGAATTGTTTTACTTGTTATTTGGTATATGATACATACTCTTTGTACGACATTTATTGCCATTTCTGATACTGATTCACATTTAACCTACCATATACATACAATGTTCTGGTATTGGCAATAGGTGGTAATATTATCACGTTTTGTAACCCTTCACTGAGCGATTTCAATACTTGATTTTAGCTCATTCACTGCTATTTCTGGTAACTACGTTATATTTGTAACTTTATATTTTATTACTGATTTTTTTCATTACAATGTATATAACTTGTTTGCGTGTATGACTATTTTTCTCTAGTTAAGTATATTTGAGTTGATAATACTTACTTGTGCTTTATTAACTGCGTTATTTAAATAATTAATTATTTCTCTAAACTTTCACGATGTCTGACCCCAACACAACCAAACGTCGATGTACCAAAGGTTCATTAACTCGATTTATCAATAACGTTAAGGACGATGAAGTCTTAGATTTAATAGATCTACAGAGGCGATTAAACAGAGCTGAAGAACTCTTGGAATTATTTATTAAGGCTCAGTTGCTCATTGAAATTTCTAATCCTGACTATGGAACAAATTATGAAACTGTACATGCAGTTGAACCACAAAATTTTGAGCATGAATTTTACTCTATCACCTCTCAAGTTAGAGCATTCTTGGATGCCCATGAGACGGTTGTTTGTCAGGATAACGCATCAGGCAGTATTTACAGTTCAGGAGCAGTAAAAACTTTTAATGTCCAATTACCTCCACTTAATTTACCAACATTTGATGGATCTTTTCATCAATGGCTTTTCTTTCATGACAGTTTTCATTCATTTATCCATCAAAACACCAGTATTTCCAAAGTACAAAAGTTTCATTATTTGCGCTTATCATTACAAAGAACTGCTGCTGATACTATCAAATCATTAGAGATTTGTAACACTAATTATGACATGGCCTGGCAACTTCTTATTGAACGATATGAAAACAAATCACTGTTGGTTCATAACGACATTGAAGCACTTTTTAATATTCCCTGCGCTCTTTGAAGGTTCTTGGGTGTCCAACTGAACATTGAGATGATCTCGTTATATATCTCACTACAATTAAATTTATTAATGCCACAATCCGTGCCTGGGAATCAAGTGGCGGGACTAATCAGTTAGCAAATATGGACAATTTGCTAGACTTTCTGAAGGATAGGTATCGAATTCTCGAATCAACGGATTCAAATTCCGATAATGAAAAAACAGAGCCTATCAAACGTAATAACTCCAAGACTTTCTTAACACTACAAACTAAATGTTTTCTCTGCAAAAGGCAACATGCAATCTATAATTGCCCTGATTTTACTAAAATCACTCCCTTTCTTAGGCTAAGCAAGGCCAAAGAATTGCGCTTGTGCATCAATTGTCTTAGTGATAATCATCCCATTAAAGAATGCAGATCAAAGGTTTGTAGAAAATGATTTAAAATTACACATTATTACACTTAGAAAATACACAATATTCAACTTCTTCCAATGTCAACCGCATCCAGGCTCAGGAAATACAAGTCTCACAAGACAGCTCAGTATCATATCATATCAATTTCCCAACTAATTCACCTATTAAACCACATATTTTATTGTCCACAGCCATTGTGAAGGTCTTCGATAAGAGTGGTAAACAACATGACAGCAGAGTCCTACTCGACAATAGGTAATTCTTCGTATACGTCAATTCATCGTATTTCAGATATAATGCTAAAATATATAAATTTACACTTCTCAAACATTATATACCAAACTTACCGATT